TTTTTTCCAATTTATCTGTAACGAACCTGTTGAAGGTCAAGTCCCTTGTGGCATTTTATTCTAATTCAGCTAGCACTTCAGCTAGACTTTGCTGAACATACTTAAGTGCACTCGGTTTTTTCTGTCGGTCGTTTCGTTGTTTCCTCTGTAACACCAGAAACATCCTGGTCCGCGTTGTGGCCTAGTATTTTGTTTTCACATTCTTGAGTAAATCGCCGTTCTACATTTTAGGATGGATGTTCAATGGACCTTATAAAGTGACAATGAGCCCTTGTACTCCCTCTGTAAATAAATATAAGAGCGTTTAGATCACTAAAATATTTGTTTATGGAGGGAGTACATGCTATGTCTGCCCTTGAGCGACAAGGTTTACCTGAACCAAAACCATACTGGTATCTCTGAACAAGTTGGACAAACTTATATATGAACGTCCTTGATAACTTCATTCCAGCCGTGTGCTGCAGGTTCCTTCACTAGCACTGCATCTGATACAGCAGAGCGGGATGACGGCCCGCCACGGGTATAGTATGATGTATTCATGCTTAATACTTATGTACAAGTTCACTACTCCCTTTGTATCAAAATGTAAAGATGTTTTCTGTTTTTTAACCAAAAAATGTCTTACATTTTGATACAGAGTCACGGCGGCGCGGAGTACACAGTCAAACTTGCAGCTGGTTGCAAGCCGACCTGCCCACTATCACACAAGTGCATTCACATTGCACTAACAATTGTTTGACTGTAATCACACATGGTTTAAGCTAATACGGCTTGCGCCCTTAGGCTCGACTCCTGCACCTGTTTTCCATAAGCAAGCAACATATCTCTCTAGTCAGTCAGTCACAACTCACGACATGATACAGAGCATGCTATCTAGTAGTAATGGTATGTACTCCTTGGAAATAACGATCAAGAGAGAAAAAAAGGACCAAATTGTTACTTGTAGGGTTGCTGCGGTAGCCACGACTTCCCAGCATTCCTTCAGTGTGGCCATTTCTTCAGCGGCAACAACTGAAACTTCTGTCGCCACATCAAAAGTAAATATGCTTGGTGGTTATATTCCTCGCTCATGGCCTATATGTAACCTTTCTCTAATAAAGTATATGTCTCCACTCTCCAGTATACCCAGTTCCTTATTTGAAATGCGTAATTACCACAAGGTAGTGGCAATTGATAAATCAGGCTAGGTACTTCCATATTTTGGCCAGTCTACTGTTTCTTATTTGAAATGCATAATTACGATGATAGTTAGATTTTCCCCTTCATTAACATGGTCTCCTTGGCCAATAAAGTCGCAGTTTGGAAAGCAAAAAAAATACTAGCATAATGTCAAATTTGTAAGAAAGATTCTGAATTTTACCTTTGGCAGAAAGTGCCCAGTAGATGAGCCCATTGCTTGCACAATCTCAATTGCCGAACTGACATCGTTCTTAACTTTAGCTACTTTTTTTTGTCGTGGGCCCATGGCTAACTTTAACTTTAGCTACATAGCTTCCAAGAGGTAGGAATAACAGAAAACAGTACTTGAAAGAAACATTTCGGTTTTATTTATAGATAAAACAACAGAAAATAGTACTTGAACAAAACTCGTTCAGTACCTTATATATAAATGTATTTGTAATAATTTCTAATTTCAACAGGTTTCATGTCTTGGAAATACAAGTGTTGTTAGATATACCTTTGCTTGCTCCTCTTGTGAGTGGGAGACGCAAGGTACCTGACAAAGCACTAGAACGATATGTTCCCATTGACGCCAGCAATTATGGTTGTCCATCAGCGACATGATAAAAACACAACCCAAACTTGAATACAAACGGCAAAATTGGTGCAACTTCCCGACATGTTGACTTCCTTACAAATTTTGAACTAGTTGTCAAAGAAAAATAATTGCACAATATGATAGTTGAAATGACAACAAACTTACTTGTTCTTTCGACACCATTTCCGATTTGACCTCCTGCCTGAGCCTTTGTAAATCATACCTTTTCTTAACCAGAGAAAAACATCAGAGGTTCATATAAGTTACTATTCATGCAGACATTTGAGGTTCAAATGAACCTTACATCTCCTATGGGGCATGCAAAGTCACCTTGCTAGCTAGTGCATCACAGAAAACCACCACTTGTAACAAATAATTGGATGCTTTCATCCTGTTATCCTTCAGGAAGCTAGAACTACAAGGATAGAACATCTCATATTCTGTCTACAAAGCATGCATATGGCAAGCTTCGATGGTCTTACCTTTTATTATTTTGTTGTGTGCATGGTTTTAAGACCGGGGTAAACTCCCCTTTAAGAAATCAATAAATCATATTTTGTTGATTGGCTTCATCAAAGTTTAAGCAGTTGGTCTTGACATGTTCCCATTTTTTGGCAGCTGATGTGTGATTGTTTGAAATGTTAGATGGATTCTCTAGATCTCCCGGTACGCTCACAAGAAAATCAAATACACACATCTCATACTTCTTTCTTCGCATGAGCTAGTGCTTCTCTTGGATTGTCATCGATGGTTAATACTATGAAATAGCTTGTTTGAATGGGTACACAGTTCACGACATTGTTCACATGGTATGTCGTAGTATGTAAGAAAAGTATAGGACCAAAACCGCGTTTGACGGAGTCTGGATCAGCTCAAGTTTACTATATCATGTCTTGATTAGAGGTTCCATCACATGGACTAACCAAATTTTAGTCGGGTTGGGACTCTCTAACAGGGCACATATCTCAATAGGTACCCCTCTGCCTCCATTGGCCTGAAGATATGGGTCTTTGTGTTGTCCCATGTTTCTAACTAATCTCTTGTATGCCATGGCTCTAGTCTGCATTGAAAAAGAGCGATGCACTTTGCTTATAAAGGTCATTTTGATTAATGTTATACCGAGTTGATACAACGACAATGAGTGCAATTTTTCTAAGAAGAGCAATGCATAGGAAGGTGTGTGTTTGACTGTAAATTTTACTTTGCATTGTGGGCCTAGGGTATAGAAAATTTCTACTCCCTCCGTCACTAAATATAAACATTTTTAGAGATTTTAATATAGACTACATACGGAACAAATTGAGTGAATCTACAATCTAAATGCGTCTATATGTGTAGAAACGGATGAAGTAATAATTAATGCACATATAGACGTTTGTGAGCATTGGTTTTGTTGTTGTTGTCATTGTGACTGTGTTGGGGGTTACTTTTTGACAAACTGCGCGTGAGCATCCTCGGACAAGATTTTTTTTTTGTCATCGCATAGTTTCATCTAGCATCTAACTTTTGCGTTGTATAGATCAAATAATTGCCATGTACAAGTTCAGAAGCACACAAGTTTAGATATTGAGAGCTAATGTGGACGGAAGACTAGCTAGTAGCGCTCTCAGATCCGTGCGCGTCAGTAGTCCAGCAAACTAGTAATGAAGTTTTGTCTCAACCCTGCAGCGTAATACACTAGTTTTCCTGGATCGCCGTGCATGCGTGCTTGGCAGCTTTCTACATGTTGGGTGGGCGCTCTTTTTCCTTTACACGCTCATGCATGCGTTGACGGTCAACAAAACGAATCAAAGTCCAGAATACAAATAGGGCGCTTGTCTTTTCTTTTTGGAATGTGCAAAACACTAGTAGTGGGACAGGCAACTTACAGCCACCTTATTGTATTCATATATGCAAGTTTAGCCAGATTAAATTAAGGTGCTACTCACGAGAGCCTCTGTTTGCATGCAAATTATTTTGTATTCGTATATGCAAGTTTAGCCAGATTAAACTAAGGTGCTACTCACGAGAGCCTCTTTAAAAAAAAGAAGAGTTTTGCCAGTACACCTCCGGTAACAAAAAGAGGAAAGACTGACACATTTGTTCATGCTCCGCTAGCTGCTTGCTCCCGTTCAGACCATCTATCCCACCACCCGCCGGCTGTTGCGCCTCCGCCTCACCGCCCTGCGCTGCGCCGCCGTCTCCACTGCATTGCATCCAGAGATCGCCTCCGCCTCACCGCCCTGCGCTGCGCCCCCGTCTCCACTGCATTGCATCCAGAGATCCAGGAAGCAGGAAGATAAACCGGTCGGTCCCTCCATTCAAAATTTCCACTGGACTGTTGTTCGCTAAGGATCTAGCATTTCTTTTCCCCAGTTAATCGCGTTGGTGTGTTACTTACTGTTTAAATGAGTTAAAATTTGTTCAAATGGCCTCGTTCCTTTGAGACGTAAATTTGAGTAATTTCCTCATGCTTCATCAACCTGATGCCGGAGCCAAACTCTGCTTAAATTCGCAAGCCAGATCCTTCTCGGTTGCCTGACACTATGAAGGTGAGCTAGTCCAGGCTGGTTGCCTTATACATAGGGCCTAATGTGTTTTTCGAGATTGCTTTTAACTATTGACATGATATATATGACATGTATAATGTAAAAATTATATCATTGGAAGCTCTTTTCACGTACGAATTTGACGGTATGCTTTAGGCCCTATATAAATGGATAGAGGAGTATCCTCTCCGGTGTGTTTGTCCTGTCAAATTAACTGAACAACTGGATTGGTGCCTTGACCTGCAGGTCTTGCCATCACATCGGCTTGGAACACTATTGTGCTACCTGCGCTCTTCGTTGTGCGACTACCTACTCGATATATATCTGCTATTGTGTGAGGTACCTACTGTTTAACTAAGAAGATTATGCTATATATTATTTTTCTGTTTTAGCTACATTTGGCTCATTCTTCCAATATTGTTATTCTATTTCTACGATTTTTCTTGTAATTCATACTACATATATCGGTGGTTAGTCTAATAGCAACTCGTCTTGAAAAGAGTGACCTCGTTTGTTTCTTCAGTTATTAATTTCATTAGTTTTATGTTATTTTTTTGCATTAATTGATCTTCTTTTTAAGTAGAATGGTGGACTAGGTTTACTTCACCCTTCATTATCAGACTATTAGGGGCTACTCACATCATTGTATTTCTTCACATGCATTGCATCACTATGTTCTTCTCTTTCCTGCAGTAAATTGAACCAAAAGATATATGGCATATGATACATCATCATCTAGTAGCTCACCGAGAGGACAAGAAGGACAACAGATGGACAAAGAGCTCCTGAAAGCAGCCAAATACGGCGATTCCACATACATGTGGGCCATGGCGTCACAGGATCGAAACATACTGCATGGAAAAACTCTACAGGGGAACACCTGCCTCCACATTTCCTGCATCTATGGCCATGAGGGATTCTGCAAGGACGTGCTTGAACTGGAAGAGTCTCTCATCAAGGCTGTAAACTTGGACGGGGAGACACCACTTATCACCACAGTGAGAAATGGCCACGTCTCTTTGGCTTCTTTTTTACTCGGTCGACATCACTGCTCTGTGCTAGAACTGAGACAGGCAATCCAGCAACAAGACAAGTATGGATTTAATGCACTGCACCATGCCATTCGCAATGGCCACAAGGATCTTGCACTGGAGTTGATAGCTGCAGAGCCTGCACTATCGCAAGCCGTGGGCAAACACAATGAGTCACCCATGTTCTTCGCGGTGATGAGAAATTTTACACAGGTTTTTGAGAAACTAGTGCAGGATCCTTTGTCTGCTTGTTCGGGAGGAAAACACCGTCGCAATTGTTTGCATGCTGCGATTATGAATGGGGATCAAGGTGCCACATATAATACCTGGACTGCAAAATTAGAGTTTGTTACAATATATATGATTTCATGCTGCTAATCTGTAATTTGTTTTTCCAGAATTCGTCAAATTAATTATGAAGAAACGTCCTGAATTGGCCAGAGAAGCTGACATAATGCAAAATACACCAATGGAACTTGCTGTACGATACAACAAGATTGACATTTTACAAATAATGCTGGAACATGACTCAGCTCTAGGGTATTTAATAGGCAACAACGGTTATCCTCTGCTTAATGCTGCGGCATTTCGTGGTCTGGTTGCTGCTGCTGAAAAGCTCCTGGAACACTGTCTCGATGCTCCTTATCTTCTACCAGATGGTTCGACATTGCTTCACATAGCTGTATTGAATGACCAACCAGAGTTTGTTGAATTTGTCCTTAGGACGCCAATACTTCGCAAGCTTGTTAACGTGCAAGACAACAAGGGAAAAACCGCTCTGCATCATGCAGTCAGAAACTGCAGTCCTAGAGTGGTTGCTGCTTTATTGTCTCACGTGGATATAGATGCAATATTGCTTGACAAAGATGGTGATTCAGCAGCCTGGGAACTGTCAAACGCCAGGAGGAATGCCAAGACTTTAAACTGGGTACGTTACGTACTTGTATACGTTATAAATAATATATTTTCTGAGTCGATCATGCATGCATATAAACAATGTTACAGATATGGCAAACTATTAAGTTAACACTGTTGAAACCCTTCTTCCCTCTACTATGCGAGCAAATTAATCATGGTATTGTCTCTAATGCAGCATGCAAAACATTATTTAGTCAACGTGACACAACTGTCGGTCTGCTATTGACTCACACAAACAAACAACATGAAACAATTAGTCTTTTAACTCACACGAATCATTATTTTTCCAAGTCTACTAACCATTGCTCCGATGGAATCCCAATGCTGTTATTTATATTCCCATTATAAGTTTATAACCTACTCTAACATTTACTGATATGCCTATATATGTCAACCTTTTGCCATATGATTTTTCTTTATTTGTGATCCACCTAGAAAAAAGTGGACATGAAGTTTTCTCTCCCCAAATTCTAGAGAGAGGCGATCTCTAAGCACGCCGCATCACAAATTCTCTCCGCTGGTGGGTCACCACCACCTCTTCCTCCGCCGTCTATGCCAATGTGGCAGTGCAAGGAGGCCCAGCTATATGGATGGAGACATAGTTTTCCCCTTTTGGGGCTTTTAGGTGTGCGTCCGTTGTCCATCATTTCAGACGTTCCGACGGTGGTGTCAGGGCGCACAATATTTTTTTTTCCAGTGATGTGTCATTGATGGTCTCGATGGTGCCTACCAGACTATTTTTCTCCCTCAACCTTCCCTTCTCAATAGTGTTGTATGTGGCAACCTGCGGACGAGACTAAGTTTGCAGGGTATGTCAGAGTGACTTCCCTTTGTAGTCGAGTCCTCTAGCCTCATCTCCATCACGTCGGTGCACCCTCCAGTACCGGCGTGGAGCTTGCAAGAATTAATGGAGTTTCAGGCTCTTGGATCTTCTACTCTTCCGGTAGTGACGATTCCTTCTCCAGGATGATAGTCCGATGAAAGTGTGGCCCTAATACTCCCCTCCCATGGTCAAGACAGATAGGCTGGCTCCGGCAATGCCGTGGCTTGCGGTAGTAGGCCATCGACCCGTTCGAGAGGTGTCGCAGAAACCCTAGCGCCACCTCCCCCACCTACTCCTCTCCATCGCCACTGTTGGCCCAGACCCGACGCCAAGTACTTTCCAGCGACGGTGATGACCAACGACAAACGACGGCGACGAACGGAGCTCGCTGACGGTCTTGGATTGCTGCCCCAAGCTAGCTAGATATGCACGTACACAACAGCCAATTGCTTGAGGCTGGAAACACACGTACGTGTACAACTTGATCGATCTGACCACCAAACAACACGGGCGTACACAGCGGCCAGCCGGCCGGAAGAACAAAACGCACGCACGCGAAGCTGATGTATTGCCGCAGGAACGTCTCGTTCCTGTTTGCTTTATTACTTCAAATCAGATCGATATTGTTACAGGGGTATAGCTACGTATATATAGTAGCTAGGACCAAGACACGCTAACCTACTCGGTTACATATTTGAATCCTAGTACTAATAGGTGACTGGCCTGTGTACGACCCGGACACAGCTCCACATGTCGTGGTTATTTCTAACAGCCACCAACGGAGGATGCCGCCCTACAGAGCTAGCTGACTACTTCATATGTGGTCATTGCTTTTGGTCATGGTTGTCACATGCCATTTCTGTTCATCAGTGGGTTGTGAGGTAATAGTTCAGTGGCCATTAGAGTAAGGGACTTGAGGTAGACCATCTGCTCGGTCCAGAGGTTGACCCAAGTAGATCAGCACTGCCTCCCTCTATACCTATCTTGCCTTCCTCACCCAATTCCGTACAATTCATTGTCGGACCTGCACGCATCTGCACCCCATTCATCTCGTTGTCCTTTGAGTAGCTAGGCCGGGCCTGGTCGTTGGCCGGCTGAGGAAGATGGAATGGAGGAGCAATGGCCAGTGCTGCTTGCCAGGGAGTCGCCACTTCTGAAATTTTGGATCCAGTTTCTTCTTGGCCCAAGCCATGCCAGACCTTTCTAACAATGCAGTTACTTAAGATAGGAATGTGCCTTTTATAGCCTTTATATCGGTGGCGGATCCAGTGGGGCCGGGTTCCGTAGGTGCCAGGGCACCCCCTCCACAAATGCAAAAGCAAATTTATCTACTATTAGTGAGTCTAATCCGTTGTGTATTATAGGGTTAAAATGATACAACAGCAATTTGTTATGGCCAGTGATAAGGTTGGCACCCCACATGGTCAAGCTCTAGGTCCGCCAATACTTTATATAGGAATGTATGTTTTCTATTGTATTTTTCATATAGAAATTTCAGAACTTTTCATATTTTTAATGGAAACAATAGAAGAGGCCCTATAATATATATTTTCTATTCTCGAGAATAAGCTTATTTGCATGATATGTACATAGTGAAGGTACTAAAAAAATAGATTACACGAAGGTACGGCGATTATTTCATGATAAATTTAGATAGGGGTGGCCGTAGTTTTTTTCGCCCGCATTGAATCACCATGAGTTTTACCTTACATTATTCCATTGAATTCATGAAGAATGAAGTGACCATGCTTATGGCAAAAGCTAGTCCATGGAATGCTCCCGTTCTCCGTAATCTTCAAATTTTGGCCAAGCAACAGACAACTGAAGCGTCAAGGAAGGATGCAAAGTCACTAACTCAAACATACACAGGAAACACTTCATTAGTGGCAATCCTCATTGCGACAATCACCTTCGCAGCTGCCTTCACCCTGCCTGGAGGATACAGCAGTCATGCTGGAAGCGAGGGACTTCCCATCATGTCTAGGAAGTTTGCGTTCCAGGCATTCTTGATCTCTGATGTCTTAGCAATGTGCTCCTCGTTTGTTGTGGCCTTCATATGCATCATAGCAAGGTGGGAGGATTATGAGTTCTTGGTTTATTACAGATCCTTCACTAAGAAGCTCATGTGGTTTGCATACGTGGCAACAACTACCGCCTTTTCAACTGGTTTATACACGGTGCTGGCTCCACGTATCCACTGGTTGGCCATTGCAATTTGTCTTATGGTAGCTTTACTGCCCATTCTCACGAAGCTGTTGGGCGAATGGCCTGTCTTGAAGCTCAGATTTAAGCTGGGTAAAGATTTCAACTCTGATTTCCTTGATATGGTCTGACCTGATCAATTTACCTTATTTTTTATGAGTGGTGATATTTCTCAGCTCTATCTGTAATGACCATTATTTGGCTACTCATACTATATTGTTAATTCATCGAGGGAAGTCATTGTACTATTCACTACCGTATATCATTCAAAACTTTATGCATTGCCATTTCTCTCTGGACATGTTACATGCATTCTGTAATGATAATCATCATGATTGATTATTTGAAAGGTGAGAGTTGCCACTGCATATTTTACAAGATAAGGACGTAGGGAACATAAACATAACAGATTGACATAGGTCAAACTATGTGTCTAGCTCGGCACAAGAGGTTCATCCAATGTTTCAGCATCAGCATCATGTGCTTGCAGCACCAATTTATTATCAGAAATATCAATATGGTATCTCCCTACATCCTTGGCAAGTCTTGGGCATGAACAGGTCTATTTCAGCCCGGGGGGTTGTGAAAGCTGGGTGAAACTGATGCAGAAGGGACTTGTACCCAGCAGCCCATGTTACTATTTTTTTTAGAAGCATGTAACTGAGTTGCTTAAGGTAAACACCCATACAGCCTCCAAAATTAGACAGACCAACTGACCAGATATGGAACAGCCAAATGAAGCAAGCGAACACCGGGCCTAGTTGCTCCGGAAAAACTGAAGAGAAAAAGCGAGAATAAATATAAGCAAGACTACATAATTTTGGAACACCCGCATTATCGAGGAGTTGAGCATAGGTCATGGGAATGCATCTACTGTACGAGTAATCAATCTGGGCAGAGAGAAATACCATGTACTCCCTCCGTTCCTAAATATAAGTCTTTTTAGAGATTTCAAATGGACTACCACATATGTATATAGACATATTTTATAGTGTATGTTGGGGATATAACTACTGAGTATACACCGCCCAGGAGGGGCCGGTTTATGCTCATCCGTATTGAAGCCCATGAAGACAAGGAGTATGGCGCTGTACCATTGAAGCTTAGAGGCCCAGAGCCCAAAGGCGGTTTAAAGCCCATAAATGTAAACCGTCATGAGATGTGTAAACTTGTGTTGTAAGTTAGGAAAGATAGAAACCGAGCCGGACACGTGTATGAGCCGGCCTCGGTGTTCTGTAAACCGCCGGGCGTCAACCTATGTATATAAAGGGATGACCCGACGGCGGTTCAGGGACAAGAGACAACAACTCGAGAGGTAGGTAAAGCGGATTCGCTCCCTGCTCATCGAGACCCCATCAATTCCACCACAACTGGATCGTAGGCTTTTACCTTCACCGCAAGGGGCCGAACCAGTATAAACTCCCCGTGTCCTTTGTCCGGTTTAACCCCTTTTTGCTAATCTAGTTGTGATGGCTCCACGACTAAGTCCTCTCACTAGGACATCTAACGTGTTAATTCCACGATAGTTGGCGCCCACCGTGGGGCTATCGCAAGATGGTTTCGAGTTCTTAAAGGGCAACTTTGAAGGGCTCAAGGGATACGCGATCGGCCGGATGACCGAGAGTCGTCGCGGCAAGCTCTACATCGACAACGCAGGCTAGGGCCCCGAGGCTGGCTCAATTGGGTACGGGTACTGGGTCCCCTTCGGCGGAATTCACGTTTTCATTGGCAAGGTCGGCGAGCCGGGCCCTGAGCCGGACATCTGCACCGACCTCATCGAGACGGCTCAGCGTGTGAGTCCTGCCCGGGTTAAGCCTGCCATGAAGCATGCGTTCGTAGGATTCATCATGGTGCGGGATCTGAACTGGTGTCCGATGGTGATACGGTCGTTTATTCTGATGGCGAGTCATCCACCGGCGAGACCGAGTCGCTGTACCAGATGCTAGATGGCCGGTTTGGGGGCTGTTCCGATGGCAATAGTATTCCAGACCCCTTGAACCGCCAAACCGGGTTGCAGTCTTCATGGCCGGTACGCAACCCACGTTGCAATCTTCAACTACAGCAACAATGCGCGCCAGCCGGATCAAGTTCTGTATGGTTTATTGGATGCCTGGACGACATTGTTGACCACGGCAGTTACCCCGGAGACTCAGGATCAACATAATGCGGAGGTTACAAGGCTGAAGGATTAGATAACTCAGGCCAAGGAGGACTTGGTGGCTGAGGAAGCCAGGATGACTGAAGAACGGGCCACTTTAGATGCCCAATAACAGCAGATCCAGGCGCAGAATTACCGGCTTATGTTGGATCAAAACGTGTCAAACGAAGTACTAAGGAGGAGGCACCGGTCTCGTCTGCCGCCGGTTTACGAAGTAATGAATCTCTTCAATACACGAGGAGCCGGGCCAAGTGATCCGGCAGTAGTGAACCGGACAGACGCACCTGGGACAGCGTCGGGTCAGCCACGGGTGACGAACCCGCCTCGACGAACAGATAACCCGCCGCAATACATACCGACAACGCCGGGTCACTTCTCTAGCCCTTTGGATAACATGATTGCTGTGGCGTCTCGCTTGGCAGCTATTCCGATGGAGGGAGGATCACTAGCGGCAGTGGAGACGCGACGGTCCAAGGATGTTCTTCAAACCACTATGTTGCAGCAGCAGGCTTATTCATATAGCCGACACAGAATACATCCAACCGCTCGTCCGAGCAAGAGTTACAGCAGGCACATTGACGAACCGGCTGTGTAAAGTAGTGTGCGGCACTGTGACGCCCCTCGAGGGCCTAATCCGGCGCGCGGCGGTATGAATGCTTAGGATGTAGTAAACAGTGGCAGAGCAAGGTAGGAGGCAGAGTATGCGAACCATCAACCCGCTCCGGTTCAACCGATAGCATCAGTTGAACGAGGATTGGCCTTCAGCTCTTGGGGAGTACCATGTCTCACCCTAGCTCTATGTAATGCGCGGTTACCCAAGGATTTCAAGGGCCCACGTAAGGTGCCTAATTACACCGCCGATTTACCCCCCCGAGGCGTGGGTTGAGAGTTATGAGATGGCGATGGAGATGCTGGATGTGGACGAAGCGGCATATGCGAAGTACTTCACCATGATGTTAGACGGAACGGCTCGCACTTGGTTAAAGAGTCTGCCCGTTAACTCGATCAGTTCATGGTACGAGTTGAAGGCCTGGCTTATAGCGAACTTCAAAGACACGTGCAAGCAACCCATGTCGATCGTGGATCTGGCTGCTTGTGTCCAAGGAGAAAACGAGTCAACGACTCATTGGGTGCGTCGGGTTTCGGAAATAGCTTGGGAGCTTCACACCCAAGGGACCAAAGAGAGTCTGTTACCACGCACAACTCAAACATAGGTACCCATTGAGCACAACTCACAATGTTACTTGGGGGCTCTTTGTGCACAGCAACAAAGAGTTTGAAATGACCCTTGTAATAGGCCATCACGCCAGGCTTGGAAGCAAGGTGTATTCACCTAAAACCCCGGGTTAACCTGCCTTCATCAAGTAAGCCACTCCGTCCAGGTAATCCTGGTATGACCCACCGAACATTTGACAAGTCAATCTTATGCTAACCCTGAACTTGTCAAAGTTAAAACAACGATTGGTTAATTGGAGGCCCATCTTAAAAGGCTTTGTCAAATGGTTTAACTCAGCGGCCTGGCGGCCCATGAAAAGCCTCGAATTTGGGTCTGGCAGCCCTTGAAAAGCCTTGACTACAAATTTTTATTTGATTTTTTTGCAAGTTTTCTTTCCTTTGATAAGGTTTTAAGATAAACCGGCGTCTATTGACCCGGCCTGACTATAAGTCATTTCATCAACCCGGTGTTTCTTAACCCGCTGCAGCTTCAACTATCAGTTGTTAGCACAAAATCAATTATAAACCGGTGTTTCTTAACCCGGTGCAGCTTCAACTATCAGTTGTCACTACTAGGGAAAAGCCTAGCAGCAGCGCAGTTTTTAGGCCTATCAGTAGCGCGGGAAGGAGCGCTACTGATAAGGCGCTACATCTAAAGATTAGCAATAGCGCGCCTAGATCCACCCTACTGCTAAATTGACTTAGTAGTAGCGCTTCTTCAGAACAGCGCTACTGGTAATTAGTAGTAGCGCTTCTCCTTTCCCGCGCTACTACTATTATTTAGTATTTTATTTCTTTTTTATTTCATGTTGTATTGATACACCTTTACACAAGTTTCCATACAACACGAATTTAGAGATTGTTTTTACATCATAATGAGTTATTACATCACGGGGTGAAAGAACCGTGGCTAGTTTCAAGTGGATGTCCATCCATTTGAAACTAATCCGCGGTTCTTTCACCCAATGATATAATAATATCATCATCATCATCATATCATTAACAACTTATCATCATAATACATCATTGTCATATAACACCTCCTCAAGATCATCGTTTTCATCAATGACATCACATAGCAAATTGGTCACTAGTCGTAATCACAAGTAATCCTCATTATCAACTCTAACACATTACCACATAATAAACATATTGTACCTCATAGGACCTACTACATTCGATTAAGACCTACTACATTTTCTAAGGTAAAATAGCAAAAAACAAGATAGCCCCTGACTCTCCATTATGGAGAATGGAGATTAGCATGTCTCCAATTCTTGCCTTTCGCTGAATGTTACTTCCAAGAACCTCCTTGCGAATGTTCATACATTTCTTCCATTCTTTGATGAATATGTGATCACCGGTTTTAGAAATCCGATATGCACAGGTGAGCTCCCTAGATTTACCTGGCAGTATGTTCAGAACTGAGAGGCGACCATTCAGAGACATCAGATGAGTCACACAATCCATCGGGAGTTTCTGTTGAAAAACATACTAACTTCGTAGTTAGCAATGATGTACTAGTTTTGGAAGTATGCAAAAGATGCACGGATGTCGTAATAGTAAAAAATCTTACCAGGGTATCTCCAGAGAAGTTACCGTGGTTCAACACATGCACTAGTGGCACGTATTCACCATAATTTGGAAGATTTCGATAATAGTTATTGTAATTCTCAAGAAGAGTACGAAATGCGATCAGATGATTTTTCTCCTTATACGTTAATTCGGTGCCATCGGTGTAGTGGGTTTTATCTACCA